CCACGGAGGTGTGTAGTAGTGTCACTGTGTATCTACTGCCCCCATCATCAGGGTTTCTACCGGACTCCACGGGGCAAAATCCCAGAAGACAGTCCCTTCAGAACCTAAAATCTCGACTCACCTCTTAGCGCCGGCATTTCCAGGTTGTACATCTTAGAGAGTGTCACGAGAAGAGCGAAATCCTTGTCGTGGATGTTGAGTTTGAAGAGGGTCCGTCCTCTGATGATCTGGAGTCGTGGCAGAACGATGCGGGGAACGTCCACGTGCGAGATGAGCACGTAGCCGGTCACCTCGCGGATGTACTGAAGGAAGCTGAGGTCCTGGTTCTCGTCCTTTATCCACGTAAGTTCCAAGTTACCGTCCACGTACGTGCAGTTGGTATACCTGTCCCTCAGGTTTCTGTAGTGGTGCTCCCGGTTTGAAGGAACGGACATCCGGCCGTTCGTCCCGATGCAGACTGCAAAGACACAAACGACGACCATCAGCGTATGTACTGTGACGGAGTGTAGTTCGTTCGTGATAAAAAAAAATACAGTTGTAGCCAAAAAGAAATAGCTCACGAACTCAGAATGCTCAGTGACACTAAGCCGAGTTTTGGAATACGTTCAGAAATGTTTAAATGTAAAATGAACGACAAATCAACAAATCAGACGTCGAATCTGTCGCATAACCGAACATAAGTTGCGTATTTTTTTTAAAAAAAATCTATTATCATGCATCACTTCAAGACTTTGTATTATGTCGCTCCCACCTCAAAAGTTCGCGAGTCTCTGTAATGTTGTTGTAACTGATTACAGGATATTAAAAAGTATAGGTTGGAGAGGCCTCTAATGAACCAACATTCATGCCAAGTTTCGCAAAAATCTGTCAATCTGTTCGAAATTTAAAAGCTGGGACACACACAGACAACATGGTGATGTCATAAGCCTAATTCTTTTCTGTGAACAAAGAGAGATAGGCTAAATTAGCAGAGAAATATGACAGTAAAAAAATGTCTGGATTAGATCTTAACGTGTTTCGACTGAGGCTAAGAATAGAATCTCCAATGGTCACAGAACCGGTTTCTACAAACTCTCTTCTGGTGAGTGGGCGGAACATTCTTCTGGTGAGTGGCTAGAACCATCATCTGATACAGGCAATACCTAGACCGTCATTTACCCGGGAACTCCAAACCTGGTTCGTGAGACGTGGCTTCTTGCTGGTGCGAAAAAACACACGGCGTCATTTTACAAGAGATAACGAACGAAAGAACAGACTTAAGTATGGTTCCCCCGGAGTAAAGAGAGTGTTAACACCGAAGTATCGTCGCCAAAGCCACTTTCGTCAACACAGGGTTCCAGACAGGAATAAGAAGTTTAATTTTGTCCTTTAATAGACTATTTTCACATTCCTAGGAACATTATTTTCTCGTGCAATCACACCAGACAAGTCTTTCTGTAACGACTGTGAAAGTCTTTCCTTCTCGCTATGTGACCACATTTACAGACCTAGGATTGACTGTCGATTTACGGATTATGTAATTATTTTAACACAGCGTTAATCATTAGCACCCTCCAGACTGGTACTCAGGAAAGTACTTGGTTTGAATCCCTGTAGGGTTACCGGTTCAGTCATCCTTACTCTATCCATGTCAATTCCACTACTCGCGAGCAAATCCTTGCAGACAATTTCCTACTCATCACAATCTGCCCCTGAAGACAGCAACCCTGCATTAAAACAAACTATCGTCATTTCCGCATCATTCCCCGTTCGTCCCATCATCTCAACCAGCGACAGGTCCATATGAACAGGATCCTTCCATCCTTTTCTCGGACTGGGACCTGTTCATATACGTTCTTGGCAGATGATCCAGAA